TTTTTTTGAGTTAGGGTCTTACTGTCACCTAGGTGATCATGGCTCACTGTAAGACTCGACCTCCCAGGCTCAGGCGATCCTCCCACTTCAGCCTCCCACGTAGCTGGGACCACCACAGGAGTACCACCACAGGAGTGCCACCATGCCTGGCTAATTTTTTTTTTTCCTAGATGGGGTTTTGCTATGTTGCCCAGTCTGGTCTCAAACTCCTGGGCTCAAGTGATCTGTCCACCTCGGCCTCCCAAATTGCTAGGATTACAGGCGTGAGCCACTGTGTGCAGCCTGCCTCTGTCCTTCTAAAAGAAAGGAAATGGCTGGGCACAGTGGCTCACGCCTGTAATCCTAGTACTTTGGGAGGCTGAGGTGGGCAGATCACAAGATCAGAGAAATTTGAGACCAGCCTGACCAACATGGTGAAACCCTGTGTTGTATTTGACCGGAGCGTAGAAAGTTACCACAAGACAAAAGTATGCCAGATTGCAGGGTCATTTATTATGCCAGCGACCACAGAGGACTCACGTCTCTCCAACCTGTGGCTACAAAAGGAGGGTGCCACGATTTTTTATACCCGAAAAACCACCTTGGGAGTGGGGGTGAGGGGCGGGGATGGGGATGATAAGGTTTCAGACATTTCAAGGGCTAGGGGATTCTGTGATTCACCTCCTGGGTGGAGACAAGGGCGGGGGTCTCCGGACATTCCAAGGGCTAGGGGATTCTGTGATTCACCTCCTGGGTGGAGACAAGGGCGGGGGTCTCCGGACATTCCAAGGGCCAGGGGATTCTGTGATTCACCTCAGTGGTTTACAGAAGTCAAGATATACATTTGTTTACACATCACAGATTTTAGCAGTTACTGATAAGAAAAGGTAAGCAGCTTTACATAGTTTTGAAGAACAAACCAGCAGTTCTATTTACAGAGGCCAAGGACAGTAGTTATTGTAAGGAGAATGGGGCAGCCATTTCAACTTATCTAAAAACAGTTTTGCATTTTATAAAATAGTTTTGCTCCGGTTCTGGCTCTAGGCCAGCACAATATCACACCTGTATCTACTAAAAATACAAAAATAAGCTGGGCGTGGTGGTACACACCTGTAATTCCACCGTCCTAAGTAGGGTGAGGCAGGAGAATTGCTTGAACCTGGGAAGCAGAGGTTGCAATGAGCCAAGATCATACCACTGCACTCCAGCCTGGGTGACAGAGTGAGATTTAAAAAAAAAGGAAATGGCAAAGGCATGGGGAAAAATTCAACATATTTAAAGATTTAAAGAAAATGCTGCAAATATTTCCACGCGCATGTCAATTCATGTATTAGTTTCCTAGCACTGCTCCAATAACCACAGCCAAGTGGCATCGGCGGTATAGTGGTGAGCATAGTTGCCTTCCAAATAATTATAACTGTGGTGGGATTTTTTTTGTTTTTGAGACAGAGTTTCGCTCTTTTAATCCAGGCTGGAGTGCAGTGCTGCGATCTTGGCACCTCCTGGTTCAAGTGATGCTCCAGCCTCAGCCTCCCGAGTAGCTGGGATCACAGGCGCTCGCCACTACACTCAGCTAATTTTTGTATTTTTAGTAGACAAGGTTTTGCCATGTGGACCAGGCTGGTCTGCGAACTACTGACTTCAGGGGATTCATCCACCTCAGCCTGCCAAAAGCGATGGGATTACAGGCGTGAGCCACCACGCCCAGCCCTACTTTGGGGGTTTAAAAGAACAGATATTTACTCTCTCACAGTTCTGGAGGCCGGAAGTCTGCAATCAAGGTGTCCGCAGGGATATGCCTTAGAGGAGGAGCCTTCCCTGCCTCTCCCAGCTTCCGGTGGCTCCAGGTGTCCCTGGGCTTGTGGCTGCATCATTCTAATCTCCGTTTCCATCTCCATCTTTACTCGGGCTTCTGCTTGGTGTGGCTCTCCTCCACGTGTCTCTTATAAAGATACTTGCCACTGGGTTTAGGGCCCACCTGTATAATCCAGGGTGATCTCTTGTCAAGATCCTTAACTTAATTAGATCTAAAAAGGCACCTTTGGCAGGCATGGTGGCTCACACCTGTAATCCCAGCACTTTGGAGGCCAAGGAATCACTTGAACCTAGGAGTTTGAGACCAGCTTAGCTAACATGGTGAGACTCCAACTCTATTTTATTCTTTCATTATTATTATTTTTTGAGACGGAGTCTCGCTCTGTTGCCCAAGCTGGAGTAGAGTGGCACAATCTCGGCTCACTGCAACCTTCACGTCCCAGGTTCAAGTGATTCTCCTGCCTCAGACTCCCAAGGAGCTAGGACTAGAAGCGTGCACCGCCACACCCAGCTAATTTTTGTATTTTCAGTACAGAAGGGTTTCACCATGTTGGCCAGGATGGTCTCTGTGACATGGTAATTGCCCCATAAACTGCATACCTCGACCACACCTCAGCTTTCCGTTGAAACTGCTCTCTGTAACCCTAAAGTGACAGGCAAGCAGTCCAAACCAATGCCATTTTGGCCCCTGCACCATTTTAAGAAAAACTAAGACTTGTAATAAGTAACTAAGGTCTGTAATTTCCACCCTACCCAGACAATGTGTAAACTAATGCTTATCTTGACCTCTGTGAACCCCTTAAGTAACAATCAGAATGTCCAAAGCCCCTCGTCCTCACCCCCGCCCAGGCGGTGGTTTACGGGCATAAAATGTCTTAACACCCTCCTTTCGGGGAGACGGGTTAGAGAGACTCGAGTCCTCCGTGGCCACTGGCAGTAAAGACCCTGCAATTTGGCCTAGTCTTTGTCTCACTGGTGATTTCGCCCTGGCTGGGTTACAAGAGTCTCCATCTCCTGACTTCATGATCCGCCCGCCTCAGCCTCCCAAAGAGCTGGGATTACAGGTGTGAAGCACCGCGCCCGGCCTGGAATTCTCCTATAAATTCTCTCTTTGGGTCAAGCCTGAACTAGAACACTGCCCAACTTACTTTGCACAGCAAAATGGATTTCATAGGATCAATTAAGAGTGTTCAAACAAGTATCCCTCTTATTCTGTTAGCCTGGGTTGCAGGAGTCACAGTTACTTACAAGCCAAAAAGATGGGGAGAGGGTTATGGCGGTTGTGGTCTCAGGCCTGCAGCAGCCTTTTGCAATATCCTGGGGATTTGTGAACTTGGAATCACAGCCTTCTGCGGAGGTTGTGCCTCATCCTCCCCAAAACGTGAAAGGTGAGGGCAGAGCCTACCTACCTGTCACCTCCTCACACTTGATCCATAGCACCTGGTTCACAGTAAGCACTCGGCTGTGTGCTAAGTAAACAAGTAAGGCCTGTTCCTGCCTCAGGGCAGGACTCACCGGCCTAGTGAAGGTAATACGGTAACACTCTAGTGAAGGTAATACGGTAATACTCTTGTCCACCAGATTGGCAGCTCCCCTCCCTTACACAGCCCTGGGAAATTACTGCTGTTTCTTTCTTTGCTGACCTTTCTCTAAAGTGCAAATAGACAATTCCTCTGGACACACAGTCTATCTGCAGCCTGCCAGTATCATTTATTAGACCCTCGCTTGCTTTTACCTTCTGTTTGTCTTCCCGAGACAACATTCTTGTAATGATCATTCCAGCAAAATCAAACTTTTTTTCTTTATTATTACTTTTTTCTCTCAGGATTTGTGTGTGTGTGTTTTTTGTTTTTGTTTTTTGAGTCAGAGTGTCACTCTTGTTGTCTAGGCTGGAGTGCAATGCTGCCATCTTGGCTCACCACAACCTCTGCCTCTAGGGTTCAAGCGATTCTCCTGCCTCAGCCTCCTGAGTAGCTGAGATTACAGGCATACGCCACCACGCCCAGCTAATTTTGTAGTTTTGGTAGAGACGGGGTTTCTCCATGTTGGTCAGGCTGGTCTTGAACTCCCAACCTCAGGTGATCCGCCTGCCTTGGCCTCCCAAAGTGCTGGGATTACAGGTGTGAGCCACCGCGCCTGGCCTCTTATTACTTTTTTTTTAACCCACTCTTATACATTGACCCTTTACTTTTTCTCCCTTTTTTTTTTTTTTTTCTTTGAGACAGGGTCTTTTTGTCACCCAGACTGGGGTGCAGTGGCATGATCTCCACTCACTGTAACCTCAATTTCCTGGGCATGAGTGATCCTCCCACCTCAGCGTCTGGAGTAGCCAGGACTATAGGCGCTGAGTACCATGTCCGGCTAATTTTTGTATTTTTTTGTAGAGATGGGGTTTCACCATGTTGGCCAGGATGTTCTTGAACTCCTGACCTCAGGTGATTCATCCACCTCAGCCTCCCAAAGTGCTGGGATTACAGGTGTGAGCCACCGTGTCTGGCCTCTTTATCTATTTTCCTAATCTTGAGGACCTGTGAAACAAAGTCCTACTCTGATTTAGAAGATACCAGGCCCTACCAGGCACTGTGGCTCACACCTGTAATACCAGCTCTTTGGGAGGCCAAGGTGGGTGGATCACTCGAGATCAGGAGTTTGAGACCAGCCTGGCCAACATGGGGAAACCCCATCACTACTAAAAATACAAAAATTAGCCAGGCATGGTGGCATGTACCTGTAATCCCAGCTACACAGGAGGCTGAGGCGGGAGAATCGCTTGAACCCAGGAGGCAGAGGTTGCAGTGAGCCGAGATTGCACCACTGTACTCCAGCCTGGGTGACAGAGTGAGACCCTGTCTTGAAAACAAAAATTAGGCTGGCGCTAAAATTAGGTGGCTCATGCCTGTAGTCCCAGCACTTTGGGAGGCCAAGGTGGGCAGATCACGAGGTCAAGAGATCGAGACCATCCTGGCCAACAGGGTGAAACCTCATCTCTACTACAAATATAAAAATTAGCTGGGCGTGATGGCGTGCACCTGTAGTCCCAGCTACTCAGGAGGCTGAGGCAGGAGAATTGCTTGAACCCGGGAGGGAGAAGTTGCAGTGAGCCAAGATCGCACCACTGCACTCCAGCCTGGTGCCTGGC